TTGTGACAATGCATCGATGACCTTAATTCGACTTTTGGAATTAAAGCACCATCTAGGACTACTGTTTATCTCTGGTTTTCGGACTTCAGTCGTGGTCGTAGTTTTCTCAAGGATGAATTTCGTGAAAGTCGTCCAAAATCGCTGGTTGTCCAAGAAAACATTGATGCAGTACGGAAACTGATGTTGCATTATTGTCATGTGACTTACAATGAGGTTGAAGTATCTTTGGGCATTAGTGGGACCAGCATACATACATACATAAGAACTTTTTGAGCATTAAAAACGTTGATTTGATGAGCCATCCGCTATATAGTCGTGATTTAGCACCTAATGATTTGTTTTTATTCCCATACATTAAGAGGGCAACGATTTTTGACACCAGAAGAAGCGATTGATGCGTTTAAAAAGCATGTTTCGGAGGTGCCCGACTCGATGTGGGAAAAGTGCTTTGATGATTGGTTTTATCGAATACAAAAAGTGTATTGTTCATCAGGGTGCCATATTTGTTGATAGCTTATAGTTTTTTGATACAAATTCCGTAGTCCCCGTAAAATATTGACATAACTCTTTTTCGCGATCCCGGTAAAACCTTGATGTGACGCCAGATGCCAGTAAATGCTTTTCACGAAGTCTGGACGCTTACGATTTCTCTCTACTTTTCACAAAACTTCTGGATTCCAACTGCGTCGGTTTTTGATTATTCCTGTTGGCTTCTTCAAAGCTTGACTGAAGCTGAGGAATCGGGTGGAATCCAGAAGTTTTATAAAAAGTCTTACTGTAACCTGTACCTAACATTTGGTTAAACAGTTCGGGCTCTCTGAAATGTGGTGTGAAATCTGAGTTGGAATTAGATTCCATGAGTAACTAGTCAGCACAATTTGTTCTGTTGAATCCTTGAACATTACACGAACAAAAACAACAATCGTCACTGTGATTCCTAAGCTCTCGCCATACCATACATTTCTACCTTGTTGTAAGTTTCTTACTGCTTCAACGCAAACGAAGCAAGCAGTAGGAAGAGCCTAGTACTTGTCTTGGTCGTCAATTTTTGCACCAAAATAAGCGTGGTATACATTTTTCACAAAATAAGTTATAGTTTGCCTTTGCTTTAGTGCGACATGACTACCACAGATATAACAAAAGTTATTTGGATTGTTCACACAATGTCTCCCTTCCATACTTATACGTTCTAGAACACTGGGAATAAGAAACAACGGAGACAACGGTGTTGCCAAATCACATTTTGTTTCATGAAAGTCAGTGCATTTAAAACTCGTTCCTAACATGGAACGAACATATGGTAAAGTATGTATTTTTAAGATATAGAGAGCGCTATACAAAAATATGACGTGACAGAGCAAAAATATGGCGTTTTTTTGAAAAGGGGACCCCGAAAATATGCAAATAAGCAAACAATTTTCAAACATCAAAATCGCCGTAGTACCTGTGTTCTTAGAAGCACTGGCCTTTTTGCTCGCCTTTGTTCAAACGCTAGCGGGTCAATTACCTCAAACGTTCGTCAAAACAAGAGATTTTCGTAGTTTTGACTTGCCAGCCACCAGCTACGCGATAAATCGCGTATATACAGCTACGCAAAGCGAGTTATTGCGAGTTGTTTACATTAATAAATCGCACATCTAACGGGAACGATTTACAACGACACGGGCTGGGTAAACACAAGACAAGAACAACCTCAATCTTAATTTGACTACAGTTTCTAGGCCTTGATTCTGCGTAGTAACGTATGCTTCGAATAAGAACCTTATAAGGCAGCAGAAATGTTCAATGTTCAATAGCTCGTTAAAAGGAAAACATTGCAACTAAAATTATTTTGACTTATTTATTTACTCCTTATAGAGTCGGTCAAAAAAGTCAACGTACACATAGTATTTTTCAGTAAATATCGGCAATCTCATTAAGAGTAATAAAAATTTAAAAAAAAATCACTTGAGACACTTTCTGTATCAAATTTCGTTTGAACCTGTTACATTCGAAAATCGATGAAATCGAATTTTTCGAAAGTATCTGCGCTCGTATAAAAATTTTATATCTCGGTAACGAGTAAGTCCTGCGGGATCGCCGTTAGTACAGAAATGATCACCGTCGAAAAAAAAGAATTTTTTTGTCTGTTTGTCCGTTCTCTGTTCTCGCCTTTTGGTTTTTCCTGAATAACTTTCGAACCGTTGGAGCTACAAAATTGAAATTTGCCTCGTTTTTAACCCTCCACGGGGCACATTAGTTTATAAGAAATGGCCCTGATCAGACGCAGGTATCCTTTTTTTCGCGATTTTCGACTGTTTTTTGGACCTTGCTATGAAACACGATAAGTGTCCCAAATTTGAAGCAATCGACTTCATATTTGCCACAGAATGGGGGGCCTGGGGGTCGGGAAGTATTCTAAAAAAATAAAAAATCGCGCGTGCAAGGGTCTATAAAAAACATAATTTTTCAAGAACTATTTATGAGACCAAAAAAAAAATTCTTCAGCCAGAAAAAGCAGAAGATGCGACTATGATTCAGATCTCACTTTCTTTTATATTGCGATACCTATAGCCCGCATAAATAGCAAAAACTTTTGTACTTATGTTTTCACCTATTGTACAGGGTGTTCCCGATATTCCGTGCTAAATGAGAAATGTGTTAAGTGTCCTAAATTTAGCAGAGAAGTAAAAGTCCGTGTCCAGATTTAAACTGTAGAAATTGGGCGCAATCAAATTTATTATTATTAAAATTAATTAAAATTAAAATTTTTTTTTTTTTTGGTAGTAATTTTAGCTTCCAGAAAAATATATTTCCTCCATAATCGTTCATATTCTTTAACCGGCAGACGCAGAAGATCCACGGCAATAACATTTATTTCGGGCATTTTTTCGATTATATACAGGGTTTTCAAATTATAGGCAAAAATCTAAAAGAACTAGAAAATTGTTTTTTTACAGAGTAAATTATGAATTATTTTGAAAAAATCCATATTGAAATCGCTATTTTGGGGGCGCACTGCATGGTTTCAGAAAAAACATATTTTCTCGAAAACCATTTACTATTTTCAAAAAATTCTTGAACCAGGAAGCGTGGAAAATCCAGGGCTATAACCTCTATTTCGAACAATGATTGTATCATATACAGGGTGTGTCGTTTATGGGCAAAAAATCTAAAATATCCTAAAAATTTCCGTTTTTGTGGCTAAATTATTGACGATAAATGAAAAACTGTTAAAGACGGGATAATTTTATTTGAACAGTATCGTAAACAGTGCCGTGAGAGAGTTTCAGGTTTCGTCAATTATACAGGGCGCGGGATATTTGAAGAAATATCATTAGACAACGCTATTATTGGTGCAAATTTTAATATTTACCGATGTTTGCTGTAACTTTGAAGTTCGACGAGATGTGAAGGACATTTTATACAGGGTGCATGCACAATTAAATTACATCGATTTTGTGCACTATAGAAAAACATTGCGTTCTTTTATCATACGAATCCGCGAAGTTCTTTCCTTTTGTAATAAAAAGCTGCTTCGCGCTACGCGCTACGACCTTGCCCCGCCCAGTGACGATTTTTCGAAAGCAATCTTGTTTATTTTTGACGCCACTTTTAAGTCGGTGGTTTAGAAGTAATAGCAAAATGAGCGCTAAAAATTGCGAAAGAGAAAAAATCCTAATTCAAAAATCACATTCAACTGCACAGTATGTAATAAATCGATACAAACCCACCGGATCTTATAAAGTGCGGCCACGCTCTGGCCGTCTGCACGAAAAGAGTCTTCTGTTGTGAAAAAAATTAGAATTAATTCTAAAACAAGGTGCTCCAAAACTTGCAGAGGAAATCAGGGAAGAGTTCTCAAAAAATGGTAGCCCTCAAACGATTAGAAACTGCTTCCATTGAGCAGGTTATAAATGCCGCGTTGCCAAAAAAACAACGAAAACAAACGCTTGGAATTTGACCGAGAACACATTAACAAAACCTGAGAGTTTTTGGAAAACATTATCCTTAGCGAAGAAACAAAAATTAATCTTTTTGGGTCAGATGGTCGGGATAAAGTTTGGAGGCAAAAAAACAGCTCTGAAAATCGAAAATTCTACGGTGAAGCATGGTGGAGGTTATCATGGGAAATCATGGACCGACATGGCTATTTGAACATCCTAAAGAATAATTTAAACTAAAGTGTTGAAAAACTTAACTTTGAGGGGCGTTATTTATTCCAGCAGGATAACGATCCTAAACACACTGCTACGCTTGTACGTCACTGGATGATCCATAATCTCCGCCAACAACTTCATACAGCACCACAATCGTCGGATCTTTCGTACTCAGATTTTGTCTACAGTTCTCCGTTTTGTCATAAACGAATAAAACTTTTTTATTTTATGCCGCAATCGTAGTTGGCTATGATCTTAAAAAACAGGTTTGCAATATATCTGTATAACCATCAGATTTTCATTAAAAAAATAAAGTCCCACAAATCGATTTTGGAAAATTCTTAAACATACATTGAATCCAAAGAAGATTGGAGCATGATGATTTTCTAGAAACACGGGCATTTTTTTAATATCATAGCCAATCGTTTTTGGTATTTAAAATAATTAGGTTGTTTGTGCTGAGTTTTATTTTGTTTTACGTTAAAGATTATTTTAGGAACAACACAACAATATAAAAATAATAATAATAATATACTGTCACTAAATATCTCTTTTTTTCTTTGAAAACTTTAAATTTGATTATAGCCACGTAATGATATAATTAATTACACAGAGACAGTTTCAAACATACCAAGGTTGATAAATTTCAATACCCGTTAAAAATGACTAATTTTTTCGGAAAATTAGGCGAATTAAGTTAATTAATAAACATCGAAAGAAAAACGTTTGTATTACACTTTTTTTCTCTCTAGTGGTATTATGCGGAGCAAGATCTACGCTTAATCGAGATTTATATCTTCATTTGGTTCCTTGGGTTGCGATAAGTGTGAGATAACTTTTAACCTAACGTTTCCTTTGCAGAACTCGAGAGTCGTCGCCGAAGAGTCCAGAAGGTTTTCCTGCGGTAGTATCGGTTATCCCAAATATCCACCGACGTGTTCGCCAAGGCTCAAAGAGTTGCCCATTGAGAACATGGTGAACAATTCGAAGATCGAAACACTACAGTGGCAGCTGAAAGAGGTAAAGTGTGTCTCATGGAGATACAAGCTTAGAAAGTCCACTTCGACCCATCTTTTCTTCGTAATATAAACAAAACCCGAACAAAAGGTACAACTTTGATAGCAGAATTAATAACATATCATCAATAATCCGACAAACTTGAGAATGCACTTTTATTCTTGCTTACGGATTCGTAAAAAATAGTTTTTAACTTAGAGTTTCTAGAAGAATGTTCTAGGATTGACCAAATACGACCATATCTAGACCCAAGTTTCACTCCATGGGACAATTATTTTTCCAGAGAAGTTGAAAGGCACTCGGGTGTCCCTCATTGTTCACACATACCTGAGCGATGTGGTTCTGTAGTCCGATCATCTTGCCTTTGCAAAGGATTTGAAATTTCGTAAACCAACTGAATCATTTATCGATGCCCAGCATGTTCACAGCGATCTCAATAATGTCAGTCAAACACAACAATAGAGTATGTCTCAAGTACAAAAAAACTAAAGATTCATCAAAAAATGAATATAAATCCTTCCGAAACCTCACCTAAGTTATAAATTTAAAGTTTGTGGAAGACACTGAACTGCAGTGTAATCTTCTTTTCGCCTAAACATAACATTGATTAAGTGTCCCAAAAAAAAAAATCAAAACAGCTGTTTGCAGATTTATTTCCGGCTTGCGTAAATTTGACAGGATTTCACACAAAATCCAGGAACTTAACTAGCTAAAAATTGACGGTACCTTCAAGTACTTTTCGCGTCTACGGTTTGTTTTGCATGATCCACATAATATTTTTCCTGCCTTTTAGGCCCTGGCACGGTACAACCACAGCACTCCTTAATGTCACCGATGACCCTTTCATGGTTCAGGATGTGTCAAGAAATACTTGCACTGTTTTTATGAGAAGTTGTGATCAGTGGTCAGTCTGATTATCTACCAATTTTAAGGGGCAGCATTGTAGGACCTTTATTCTTCTTGATTTACACGTCCCACTTCTCTAAGCACGTAAATAAATGTTATTCTGCTGTTATTATGCTGATGATATGCAAATTTACTTATCATTCTCCGTCAAAGATATAGCATTGTCTTTCAATGAGAATTTTCAAATGAGTTATAGAATTTTCAAAGCCCATGGTCTGATATTAAATGATTCCAAGACGCAGGTTGTTCTTTTCTGTAATAAAAAAAGGAAATTGTCGATTATAATAAACTGAACCTTTTTTTTATTTTGTCGGCAATTTTTCTTGTCGCATTTTTATTTATTTTGATAGACGTTTCATAAAAATTGGTTTTGCTCCGTTGATGCTTTCACCAGCATTTGAAACGAAATTAAAAGAAGTTGTTGATTGTAAGTAACTCGTGTGATGCTGTTTTTTAATGTTTTTTTGTCTGTGGTTTGCCATGTTGTCATTTTTATTTAAATTTCTGTTGTTATCTTTTTTTTTGTAAATTGACCCTCTCGTTGAATTACAAAAAAATGGTTGAACGAAAATGGGCACACAATTGGGAATTCTGGTGTCCACTGCCGATTAAGACAACAATGTGGCTTCAAATTTCTCAATTTTAGGACACGTGTTTCCTGGTGTACTGTTAAGGTTTACAATGAACTACCTTTTTGCTCCTATCAACCCTTTTTTCTCGCCATAATGTTATAATGTTACATGTCAATATACAATCAGATTTTTTTTTCAACTTGGCCGTTACAGTTAAGTTTCTCGATGAAGAGGCCACGCCCAATTTATCCCAATTACTATTTTTTCTTCTAGTTTATTACTTTTTTTAGTTCTGCGATTGCCGTTTCCATTTTGTATCTATCTATTTATTTATTTATTTACAAGTTACAAGTGGATATTGATTTTGAATCGATTACAAAGAAAGGGCCACTTGTGGAGGTCTCGAATTCGACTCTGAGAGTGAAACTGTGTACGTTTATCTCGCGACTAATGTCCATGCGGACATTACCATAAGCGATGCGGATTTGTGCATAACGCGGAAGTTATACAATTGGACTTATTGACGGTGGACCACCTCATTAACAGCCGCCATAAGGAAGTCCCCTATATCGCAATTTAATTGTTATAAATGGTCGGCCTCATAAAACGCCACATCTCGTTAAATCTATATTTAATAGACCAAGGGATGTGAGATATGCATACGTTTTTATATTCCACCCGGCGTATAAAATTCCGAACGTTGGGTAGGTATAGTGCTTTTGCAGATAAAATGGTTTCGGTTTTTGGTGATTATTTAGTTAGACACATTTTTTTTTAAATATACCAGCGGCGGCCCAACGGAATTTCACCCGGCTATTTTGGTACGCCACCGAATTCTAACAAAATAAAAATTATTCTTACAATTTCCAATCATTTCTAAAGAAATTTAATTTCTTCTTTCTTAAAAAAATTAATAACCTCTCCTCTGCGTGGTCATAAAAATATCGTTAATATGACAAACTCTTAGGTGTATTTTTGACATTTTTATAATTATTTATTATAATTGTAGCAGGCTGTGTCTTTAAGATTTATTAGTGCTGTCGTCAAGGCGGTTGTTTGACAGTTTCTTGAGATCAGCTTTTAAATTAATTTCTTCCCGTCTTATTAATTTGATGTTGAAAATATCCGAGCGTTGTTAAGAACAGTCGAGTTTACTAATGAAGAGTTGCATTTTATGTATGGTTTGGTTGATGGCAGTGCGCCGGAAAATAGACGATTATATTGTTTTTGACATTTTTTTTATTAATCAACAAACAAAATTACAATAAGTAACAGGCAATTGAGAATTCTTAAACAGTACTTAAAGCACTGGTCCCAAGAATTTCTGATATTATAATATAATATCTGATATAAGAAGTTCTGATATTATAATTGTAGATATCGTCATGAAAGCTGGTGTCATACATGTGAAAATTTTAAGAATTTATTTTGTAGAGTTTGTATTTTATTTAAATAAGTTGCGTCACATACACCCTATATTGAAATTACGTATCTCATATGTGATACAAAATAAGAATTATAAATAGTCATTTTACTACCGTACCTCAGACAATTACGGCTGTTATATTTTTTATTTGATATAAAATTAATATGCTCAGCCCAGTTTAAACTATCATCGATCAGTACGAATAAAAATTTAATTGGTTTAACACGTTCTATATTTAAATTCTTCATACATAATATCAAGAGCGCTTTCCTAAGAGTCATACAAGATAAGCGAAAATATTTAAATGTAAATAAAAGGTTGACTGAAACAGCTATTTTGAGGAAAATTAATCATTTAAAAAGGGTTCATTGTACTGTAAGAACTCCAGGATTTAAAAAAGCAGTTTTACATTCTGTTAATGGAAATTTTGAACTTGGTAATCTCGCACGTTTTTGTTTGGACAATTTTTCACGATTTTCTATTGTACCTATTCAAAAAGTTCAAGCATTATTTCCCAGAGATTTTCCCTTGCATTTCGCACCAAATTGCGCAATATCCTTTCTTTGACCTTGACCTTATTATTTTAGATAGAAAAGAGTAGGGAGATGTACCGTGCGGTGATGAAACAGGTGGTCACTTTCCTGGAAAAGGCCCACCACAGCCTGGAAGACCTCGGCAAGCGATTGAACAGAAAAAACTCGGTGCCCAGGTCCAGAAGCGAGCATCATATAACGCCCGACGATGCCATTTCCAACCCGCCTAGCCGCAAGGCTTCTGTCGACGGCGATGCCAGCTCATTTTTATGGTACACGTCAATTAATATTGCGTTCAGAGAACTTCCTACCAGGTTATTGATATAAGCTCGTCTTCTCGCCTTTTTGGGATGACATTCGAGTTGCGGTTTTGTTAAAAAAATATCACAATATGTTTCGAGAAATCAGAATCAGAAATTTTACTACCAAGCCTGTCCTGAAAGTGCCCTAAGCTATTAACAATGTCGCCAAAGTTACTTAATAATTAATTATCATTGTCGTCAATTTTTATTATTTTGTAAAAATTTATGGATTATTACCCCATTTTAATTACCCTCATTTCTTTAATTGAAATAAAAATTTTGTTGAAAAATATCACAAAATCTTTCGAGAAATCAGAGCCAGAAATTTTACGACCAAGCCTCATCTTAAAGTGCCTTAAGCTACTAACAATGTCGCCAAACTTCCATGTAAAATTTTTTTCCAAAAAATATTTAATAAATTATGATTGTCGTCAATTTTGATAATTTGGTAGCAATTTTTGATGGACTATTACATATATAATATCCCATTGTCCACACAATGGTTGATAACCTGGTTCCTGAGATTCTTCAGCTGGACATTTGATACGAGTTTTCATCCTATTCACCTCTACTGTGGCGGCTGTTGAATCCTGGCCTTGCACCTGTCTTTCTGTTCGCATCTCTAGAATTGAACTAGCCGATCGCTACTCAACTTATCGAACACATCTGAGAAGCCATCTTTGATACATTTTGACTTGCCGCGTTCGCTATGGACTTGGCTGGCCGCTTTAACAGATGAACTAGATTGAAAACTTTATTTTTGTCTCGAATTCAAATTGTAACTGAGATAAATTCTCAATAACAATCCCCTTTATTACAGGTAATAGGCCAGGTTATAACTGCGTTTGTATACTTCGACCAGAAATATAGTGCTTTTACAACCGACACCGTAATTAACTTTGCCTACTGTTTATTACTCCAAAACCGCAGCCCCTTATAGAACACCCTGCCGAGCAGACCCTCACCGGGAACCATTCCAGGACCGTCCTAGCAATTTATCTACCTACACTAACAAGCGGGATATAAGTATGTTTTCAATCTTTTTCGCCATACAAAGTAACAAGTCGCTCACGTTTCTTCTAAGTACACTATTGGTCTATGTTGCTCTCGAAATGTTTCAATTGCATTTAAATAATCCACCCTCCATTGCGAAATTCTTTGAGATTTCATTAGCACTTGACGTTTATGAATTGTTTGTAACTGAAAATCCATTTTCTTCAAAAAAGTACCCAACGACTCTTTGGCACAACTAATGGTTAAGTCTGTCAGTACTTTTTTATGCAGTTATAATTAAAACACTATTCTCTTTATAAGGGTTGTAGATTATACGAATAATTAGATCTGCGTGTTGCTCTTTAAAAACTTGCGAGGTACCAGCATCTTCTCTAACTTTCCTCTTGACTATCCCAATTGCAAAATTTTTTTTACAATTGACTTCGGAACTTTGCTCGTGTCACTTGTTTCCGTTGCTGCTCCTACTTCCTCTGCTGAATTTCCTTAGCCTTTGAACTATCCAGTGAAAAGAGTCTCGCAGTATCAATATTTATATACGAAGTATCAAATAGTATCAAGTATCAAGAACGGAACACATCACCCGATGTTACAATAAACGCTTCTACTTCGAAGATACCCCGCAGCATCAATGCTTAATCAAATTTAAAACGGTCGATTTACGTTTCAAATAAAAAAAATCTACAAATATTCCTTACGGTCCATCTCAGACAAGACCTAGTTAATGCAGAATAAACATCTGTTGGTATGGGTTGACCGTTAAACGTCCGAAGTAGTAAATGCACTATATTTTTGGTCGTACGATACTTAGTGTAGTAAATTAAGTAATTACTGGGCTTCTATCCATTGCATATTTTTGAATTATTGAATCGATTACTTTTAACGGTTTAATGGAAACTTTATGTGGGCTTCATGGAAAATTCCGTCCCATTTACATTTAAGTGTTATCTTATTATTATTATTATTTGCAAATTCCTATTTTTGATTCTTCATTTACCGATAAAACGTAATAAAAACCTGCTAGAACGAGATTTTATGCTGCGCAGGAACAGCTCCAAGAAGCAGGAGGACGCGCAGCCTGAGAAGCTCGCGCAGGAAGCTTACCGATTGCTGCGCACCGCTCGATCGGTGCTGAGCACCCGCGAGCCCAACTTGGTGCAGGCTGACGAGCCTTGCGACGTAGAGTTCCTCGCCCAGCTAGCCAAAGAGTTCCCCCAGACCCCCGAGCATCGGCCTCAGCGAGCCACCTCGTTCTACGTGAGCCCGAAGCTGATCCTGCCGGACCACGAGCCGAAAATCTCGACGGCCTTCAACCGGAAGCTGTCGCTTCAACTCACAGACGTGAGAAGGACGTCCGGGAAGTCAAGGGTGTCGCTCGCTGCAGACACCTATAGCGATTTCGTCGCAGGTACGACCAAGGTCGATTTCGAAGGTCACCAGGACAAGGGCAAAGGTTCCCCTCCTGCGGGGAGCGTTAGTTCCGCGGAGGATGAGAGCGGCTTCTCATCGCTCAACTCGTACCAAGAGGTGGGACTGCCGGGCGCCGAGGAAGTATCCGCGAGGAGCGTACTGCTGCGCAGCATGCTGCACAGCGGCGAACAACAGCCGAGGGACGTGTGGCAGAAGCCGGTCAGCAACGGTCAGCACAAGCGATGGCACTCGTCGCCAGCGGAACACTTGGACAAGCAATCGGTTAAAGTTTTGTGGGTATGAGAGTATGGCGGCTCCCGACTTATTTTTTTTTTAATAAGAATTGAGAGACGTCGGGGTCGGACCCAAACTTTACTAATTTTTAGATATTAGACGCGCGGATTTTAAACATTCTTCGCTTTCGATTGCAGTACAGTATTTTTTTTTGCGATTTTGGAGTAAATAAACTCGTAAAAAAGGGACGTGTTTTTTTTAATTATCAGTGTTAAGGCGGAGGATAATAATCATCATTGGTAGCTTTGTTGTGAGGAGAGATTCAAACCCGCTTAAATTAAAATGGGCTCTTTTTAAATGGAAGATAGTAGAAATCAAGTGGGGTTATATCTGGTGACGTAGGAGGTCAAGGAATATGTCTATTTGTAGCAATCCATTCATTTTTCAAAGAAACTTCCACATGCTTCTGTAATACTTTTTACAAAACTTCTGGATTCCTCCTGCGTCGGCTTTTGTTGAGTCGAACTTGCTAACGTTTCGCCAATCGTTGTTGGCTTCTTCAGAGCTTGACTGAAACTGGCTCGAATTTTACTATGTACCTGCTCATATATTGTTTGAGGTGGGCGACGGGCATAAACACCCATTCAAAAATCTAAAAATACTTAAAAAATATTATATACCTAAGCTCAAAAGATAGTAATTACAAATAAAATAAAACAACTGAACAACATTCTTAGTGATTTTTCTTTCTTACAAAAATGAGGGCACCCTTCCCATTGACCACAAAGAGTGATAACCTGAGAAGCCACTTTTTTTACCACATCGACTATTTTTCCTTTTTTGACATACAACTGGTAGCAGCTAGAACATCTAGCTCTTTTTTTCTATTCAGTTGGGCCAGTTTGGTCATCAGGGAAAATTGGTACTTCTAGTAGCCACAAAACCACGCTTTGTCTAAAGGTTGTTATGTTTACTGAATTTGGGTTTACTGAATTGAGATTATATAAAAAGTGTGCGTTTACCAGTGCTGCACCCCAAATTGGTTCGATCATCAGCTTTCGGTACCATTTGTTACATCTTTTAAGGGCTGTATTTTAGGACGCCAACTGGTCACTAACATCGACTGGAGACTTACCCCCTTCATAATCGACGATACATTTGGGTCTTATTTGTTGCCTATTTCTGGTAACCATAGTTTCCGTTCCAAATGGCATGTTGATAGCATCTGCACATCACTCTTGTCGCGCCACTTCAAAATGGTTACACTCTCTGGAGATTCTTTGTCAATGATTTCGCCTCTTGCTAATTTGGTATTCTTTATCTCTTGGGGAATAAATTTTCGAGTGGAACGTAACGTACTCACAAGGTGCGTCAAGCAGTTTATAAGCTAGAGGCACGCTGGTGTAGAAGTTGTCTACATACCTTCCTCTAATAGGTCCTCGATCAATTTCAAGGTTACATTTTCAGATGCTGATGATAGGACGCAGAGTTCCTATCATCAGTTAGGCCCTCTCAACATAAACTGATGTCTCTTCGATGAAATATGTTGACGAAAACTAAGGCGGCCCCTAAAGGGCACCATAGTTTCATCAATGCAAACTTTTTGTTCCGGTAGCGCTTTTGAAATTTGGAACAAATTTATCGAAAACATTGTCCATTTTATGTGTCCGGTTTCTACACTGCTTGGTCGTCATCAGCTAAGTGCCAAAATCTCAGCAGCATCTGTTTGGTTTGCGTATAAGTTGGTTTCGTCGACCATTGTTTGTATTATGTCGTTGGTCACAAAAAGTGAAAAATAATCTATTGGCTCAGCAATCGTTGGATCCACACCAGTGGTACCAGAAAACGCAAAGTTTTATTGCCTTCCTACAGAATCAGTCCAAACAATATTTTGGAAAGTATCGGTGATATTGACCTTAGCCCTCGGTCCAACAGTAAGCGGAACTAGCGATGGCGCCACTCTTGGTGAAGTAGCAGCCAATGAAGAAGGTGGAGTGGGAAGTACACGACGCCGACGGTGTGGGGGTGTAGATGTTTGGCTCTCGGTTGGCTGGGCTATAGTTGGGATCATCCCCGGAGTCAACGTCTTCATTACTCATGTCTATGTCATCATCTTCTTCAAGAGCCGCAGCTAACTCAGCGTCCGTTAGATATTTTTTGGCAATTGAAATACCCAAAAGTACGTTATATTTACTTCGCAATCTCACATATTCGATTAGACCATTAAAGGCCCACTTAGGAGAGCTTCAAAATGATGTATTACTCAGCCACTTGGAAACCGTCGGGAAGATACAAAACTACGTCAGAATGTGTCGTCAGAGCTAAAAACGAACTTTCAAATCTCGCGTACGTGCACGTTGGATGCACCTTCTTAAATACTTTTTACATGGTTGCGTCGCGACTTCCCGTACTGTCGGCATAGGGAGCATAGACCGTATTTGTCCGAATGTTCATTTGTCCGAGAGGGAGGCTGGCAAAGCGTTTCCGTTGAGAAAGAATTTTCCGCGAAAAAAGAATAATTACGATTTGTTTACATTACAAGGTTTAGCTTAAAGGTTTATTTGCCTTGTAATTAACCAAAGAGTCAAACCTATCATACATGTGTTTGTTTAAAGGTTCTCAATTATTTTAAATAAATCATTGCGGTCATAGTAAAATTGTATTTAGGCACCTCTTACTCGGAAAATCGCATACGACGATTATCACGAATCATGAAATGTGCCAATTGTTCTCACAGCTAAAGTTATTGATGATTTTTAAATTTATTCAATAAGCAATATCTTTGGATTATGCAAAAAATTAACCAGCTACCTAGTATACCCAAGAATCAAAAACTAAAAGTTACCTAAGTAGTTATTGGGGTAACAAGTATCAAAAAATTGAAATTGCATTAAAATTTTAGAAAAGAACAGCGCCCATTACTTTAAAAGGTCAAATGATATACCTACCCAAACCTTCATTGTGGTATGTTTAATAGAAGTTGTAAATTTTTTTAGCTTAAACAATAGCGTAAATTGTTGTTCTCTATATCATGTCCAATAACCTCTACTTTATTTCCTAAACAGTTAATTTTATTTTGTCTTCAAGTACACTGTATAGTGGAAACCACCTATATAGATAATTAACGAAAGTAAAATAATTTAAAAGCATTTTATAAATTAATTTGCTATTTGAGCCTTGATTGCACTTGCATTTTAACCGAAACATTTGGATAAATGTTTCGGTCGATTTCGGGTGTTCGTCGCCGGTGCCTCGGGTGATTGGGACAAATCCACATTATAGCACAGTGGTGGGGAAACCTTTATTGAGACGGGCCATTTGTAATAACTAGACGATCGTAGCAGGCCAGGGAATAATACTAAATCGTTAAAAAATTTATGCGTTTTATAAACATATACATATATTATTACATACACATATTATTTTAATAGTAAAAAAGCAAAAGATACAAAATATAAAATGAATTTAATGTAGTTCTTGATGTGAAGTACTTTATTTTCTGGTGTCATTACTGGTTGATGATGCATGAGGAAAGTGACTGTTTTATCAAAATTTCATCATAGTCGGGTTCCATTTGCGAAGCAGAAATTCTTAAAAAGGTGCTCATCTGTAATTCTATTTCTTAAAAAAGTTTTCCCAAGCTTCATTGTTGAAAAGATTTGTTCGCATATATAAGATGAGCTGAACATTGTCATTTTTGGGAAATTATCCGGACTCAAATTTTTATAAAATTCTAGTAAGGGTATTGTATGAAAAGTTGGTTTCAGGATAGTATTATAGTCCAGTTCTATTAACTATTAACAAATGGGGTCGCAAAAATACTAAACTCTTGTTCCATTTTTCTGAAATCGTGAAATCTCCTTTCAAATTCTCAAGATAGTTTTCTCAAATTAATTTCGCATTTTTTAATATTATTGTTTGATATAGTGAATTTTAAAGATTATATTCTTGGAAAATGAGAAAAATCAGATTTAGAGATCTTGCGATTTAATTTTTTTTCACCTCTTCACTTAACGATGAGTAGGTTTTCATGTTTGCTCTTGAAATGGCGTTCAATGTTATATTCTTTTAAAACTGCAACAGTTGTTTTGCAAAGCAAGCACACAGGTTTAAATAAAATAAAGAAATATTTTCACGTCCATTCTTCTCTAAAAACTCGACATTTTGAATCTACTTATCTTTTTTTAACATCCATTTTAGACGGAGAATTGACGAATTAAGTAATGCTCTTGCGCGGGTGTTTGTTGAGGCAGTTTCTGGGATTACACAAACAATTACTCGAGTCACAGCGCGTCGTTGCAGATAACTTGACTGAGTCGCTGACTAACTGATCTTCGGGCGGCCTCGCTTGTATTTATACCTACCTGCAAGAATTGTTCGGGAATTGGATTTTTCCGGTTCTTTCGGAAAAACAGATCAATGAATCGAAAATGCGAGCGTGTCTGGAAGTTTCCAGCGAAGAGAAGTCAGCTGTTTGCGTTGGTTGGATTTGTCTAGAATACTATTGTGTTTTCAATATCGCCGCAGGTAGTTTTTATGCTGGTCGTCACATTGCGAAGAACGCGTTGAAACATTCTTACGACGGCACTCTTAAACAGGCCGGCGCACAGTGGAACGAGCCTGTACAAACTTCGGACGTACTGGTTAAAACTGAACGATCAAATATTACAAAGACATATTACGTATTTTAATCTACAGCACTTTTCTGATTTAAATCAAAGAAATTATTTTTTCAAATCAAAAATTTACAACAAATATTTGCTTTTAAACTTTGTTACTTAATTATCCTAAATAAGCCTATAAAGAAAGCGGAATAGTTAAATATACTTATGTTTTTTATAGCTTATAGAAGAAAGACCACTAAGATGCGATAATCGGAACTCTATTACATATAAAATAATCTAAGACTAAGAACCTAAACATTTGAATGATATAAAGTTTTTTTTATTGTTCCCGAACTGACAGTATTTTTTTTTTTAACTTTCCAGTTTAGAGTAACCGTAAGTAAAATGCCCAGACATGCCCGCGTTTATATTAAAATATTATCATTTTGAATATTTTATACAAAACAAATTCGAGTCCGACTGATCCGACGGGATCCGACCGTCCTATCTACATCGAATTTAAGCATGCCATGCACAAAATAAGTGACGCATGACGCCTCAAGTTGCAACAATATTTTGACGTTTATGTTATTATTGACGTAATTTAGTTGTAAAAATGGAATTTACTAACAAAGATTTTTGCAATTTTCTCCTACAAAATAAAACAGACTTTAGCGATTATAATTACCTTTATGAAATAGTGCTAGATAATATCAACAAGGCTTTATCGAGTGGTGCTAAATTGGAGTTAAAAGAGGCTTTACGAAAGTTTTGTTTTAAATTGAAGGAAAGATATATTAAAAGCAGTTACAATAATAATCGCTTTTTTTCAAAAAATTCCAACTGGTTGAAAAAAAATTTCGATATCCCAGAAATTGTAAGAGAAGAAATGTTAAATTCGCTTAATGAACCTGATATTGAAGAAAAGGAAATCCAATTAGAAAAGAGAAAATCGTTCTCTGATTTGCAGGACTTTAGTGCAAGACATAAAAGGAGGAAAACGAAAGACATTAGAGATCAATATTCATCCTACGGGTTACTTTTTGCAGCCAAAACAAACCTACGTTCTGAAGGATATACGGATTTTGCAAAGGTAACTATAACCAACGATAATAATATTATTATATAGGGTTATTTACGGTGAGTGTCCTATGAAAATTTCTGGAAAGGAATAGGCGAATTTTTTTTTTCAGATTTTCCTTAAATTTTTTTATTTTTTTACAAGTTTTTGTTTTTGATTATAAACGATAGCTCATAAAAAGTTAAGATAGCAAAGTGCAAGCGGTTTTGCGCTAAGTCGAACCGTTCAGCTTTTACAGACCCTCATAAATATCAAAAAGGCCTATTAAAAATACAGGCCTAATTTTCCATCTTATTTCCTTTAATTATTTGATATTTTAAAAATTGTTACTTTCCTATATACAGGGCGTTTTTAAATAGGACACCTTAATATTTTATTACATACCTATTTGGATCTTAGGGCCCAAAAATAAGCACTTTACTATAGCAAAATGCTATCGTTAAATATTAAAAATATTTTAGCGAAATGTTTAAATGTATCTGCAAACTATAATAAGCACGTCTTTTTAATAAAATTGTAATAATTCCTTTTCTTAGTCAAAAATAATAATAATGCCAACTGTCAAACTCTTAGGTCCCTACAAAGGTGTATTTCTTATTTATAGGTCATAGAATATCTCATGGAAAACCCAAGCCAAGCCAAAGAAGTAAGAGAATTTTGCCAGACTAGCAGGCACAGTGTTAAAAATATTTCGGGAGAAAAAGCGATGAGCATCTTTGTTAATTCAAAGATGTCAAAACACCAATACAATACTCTACGACAATCCTTAATCCTCGAAAATATGAACCATTTTCCTTCATACTATGCCATACAACAGACTAAATTAGAATCTTATCCACCCAAAGAATATATCACTATAACAGAGGTATCAGCATCTGTTAAACTTCAGGCTCTTTTAGACCATACCCTTTTAAGGATATTGAAAACTGTGGAATGTGTTACGTCTAGCAATGATATTATTTTAGTTAGTAAATGGGGTTTTGATGGCGCATCCGGGCAAAGTACTTATAAGCAAAAGCTAACTTCAGGTGAAGATTTGAGCATTTTTATTTCCAGTTTGGTACTCATAAAACTGTACAATGTAAAAAACGACACTATTATTTGGGAAAATAAAAGACCATCTTCGACTCGTTATTGCCGTCCACTAAGATTTACATTTGTTCATGAAACCCCAGAGGTAATAAGAAAAGAAAAAAAATTAATTGACAAAGAAATTGAGAATCTTCAAGCCACCCAAACAAAATTCGGGCTAATAGGGCACAAATTACTTTTTACTATGATAGATGGTAAAATATATAATACCCTTACAAATACATCTTCTATGTGTTGTTATATTTGTGGAGCTAAAACAAAATTTATCAAAAACAACCGGACGAAACATGTTATTCTTTTGGTATTTCGAGCTTGCATGCTTGGATTAGATGCATGGAATGGATGTTGCATATTTCGTACAATTCAGATTTTAAGAGATGGTCGTGTACTACTACAGAGCATAAAAATTTAAAAGCTACAAGGAAGGCCAGAATACAGGAAGACTTAAGAAATGAATTAGGTATTTTAGTTGATGTGGTAAAACAAGGGGTTGGTACCACGAATGATGGAAACGCGGCAAGAAAGTTTTTTTCCGACTGTTCCACAACTTCTAAAATAATAGGCATCGATTTTACATTGCTTGAAAGGATTAAAATAATCCTGCAAACCCTTTCATGTACCGAAGAAATATGCCCTTTAAAATTTGATCTCTATACAGCCCAGACAGCTAAGTTATATGTTTCTCTTTACGACTGGTATTACATGCCCCCTTCAGTCCATAAAATTCTAGTTCACGGAGCAGATATTATAAGAAATTTTGTGGTACCAATTGGAAAGCTCTCAGAAGAAGCCTCCGAAGCTAGACATAAAGAATTCAGAAACGTCAGGGAGTTTCATGCAAGAAAGACCAATAGGAGGGCTACAAATGAAGATATATTACACAATTTATTACTTTGATCTGATCCATATATATCACATTTATCTAACAATGGCTACGAAAGAAAATCGTGCTTGCCGCTAGAGGTCAAAAGCCTTCTCAAATAAAATAGTGTTTCATATTGGCATATGTTAAATGAATTATTAAAGTAATATTATATTTAGTTAGTTACTTATTTTCCGTTAATTTTTATTAACTTTTAAATATTTATTAAAATTCTAGTTAGTTTAAAATTTTTTAAATATATTTAACTTACCTTATTTTCAAATATAATTTTTGGATTTTGCCATAGCGAATTTATCATCCCGTATAAACATTTATATATATTTGTGAAAATTAAATAAATTTATGAATAAAAATGTTCAAAATAATCAGAAATATTTTTTTAAGCGAACGGTTGACTCATGTCCGGAAAATCGTATCTTTCGTTCCACTGTGCGGCGTAAACCTTTCCGAGTGCCGTAGTTACCGGCATAGACAGGGAGGGCCTCTGTATGTCTCGTGGCTACGCGTTCGAAACAGATGGTCACGTGATCTCGGAAATCGTCAGGCGCGCCTTCTCGACCACACTCTACCCTTGACGGTTGCAGCGTTCGCCGCTAAGGGCGCCACCGTCGCGCCCGGCCAGACGGCACGCGTGCCGCTCCAAGTGGGTCGCGCATGCGCCGTCTTTATCGGCGAAACACCGTCGCGTACGTCCCGATGGGTTATGTTGTAAGCGATTACGCGACTGATCCGCCGCCGGCGATGACTTTTTATCAACGCGAAACGCGCCGTTATCAACCTTGGACCTGGGGAACTGCGGTGGCGCGTCGCCACCGCGTCGTCGTCAGAGAGCAGCACGGCCGCGACGAACTATTTTAGATTTTCGTGGTCCGTCGGCGAGCGGGGCCGCCGCCGTCGTCACACCTCGCCCGATTTTTCCGCGAGTGCAGTGCGTACCGTGTGCGAGAACGCCGTTCCCGTTTCGTTTTTTTCTGTTTTTTTTTTCGATTCCGTGCGTTCGAGGGTCGCCGTCGCGGCCTCCTCGATCCCCAAAGCCGTCAAAATTCCCCGCTCAATTTGTAATTTTAGTGACAGTGATAGTGAGATGAGCTACAAGGACCGCGGCTCGCCGATCCTCCTCGAGAGCGGTCTCAAGTCGTTCCTCGGACACCCGGGACACAGTTTTCCGCTGATCAACGGTGAGTGAGTATAACCTATACAAATAGTGAGGGTGGGGGAGAGAGCGAATCATATGATCTCGCGCCGCGGAGATCGCAGTCGGCCGGTATTTCTCCGTTTCGACGACTGACCACGCGTGTATTCGTCAAAGTGACGAAACGCCGATGTCGAGATGATCCGGAGTCACATGTCCGTGCGGATACGCGCCTGCGCCCCGCCGCGCGTCGATCGCCAGAGTTTTCCGCGGCGCGGCATTGCCGCGCCTCGCAATGAATGTTTCGTTTTTTTACGCGACGAAAATGGAGAACTCTCCCGTTCTTGACAGTTTTTACTCAAATGTCTGTACGGTGCGCCCCGCTTTAGAACTGCGCCCCTTTTTGCAGGGCGAAAGTAACAATTTCGAAAAATCCATTAAATCGATTCTTTTCTAAAGTATAGCTCCTCACTAAATTCGAGATCTCGACAACGGTGCATCGTACAGCGTAGCCGCTGGTACAGATGGAATCGGCATAGAAAAAAAATGTTTTTATTTTTTGTCTGTCCGTTCTCTGTTCCAGTGTTTTTCGACGATAACTTCCGAACGGTTTGAGCTACACGTTTCAAATTTTGCTCCTTTTTTAAGCGTCCACGGGATGCATAAGATACATAAAAATGTCTGCGTTCAAACTTCGGCGTCCATCTTTTTTTTTTTTCGATTTTCGACTGTTGCTGTGAAACACGTCCGAAATTTGAAGCTATCGACTTCAAATTTGGCAGCCAAATAGCGTTTGGTCCCCTAACTTGGGGGTCGGGAAGTATTTAAAAAAAAATTAAAAACTGCGTTTGCAAGGGTCTTAGGAAAGGATAATTTCTCAAAAAAAAATTCTTGAACGAGAACACGTAGAAAATTTGGCCGCATAAACTTACATTCTTGACAATCTTTCAAAAATGTACATGGTGCAGGCAAATTAAAAAAAAAAAACTGAAAAATTTATATTATTGAAAATTCATGATAACTAAAAATTTGTATTTAATGTTCTCACTTATTGTAAAGGGTGTTCGCCATGAGATGCTCTCGGACCTCCGAGATTGTGTCGTGGGTTCTACGGCGGTAAATAAGGCACAAAATTTGAAAACTACCAAACTTTTACTGAACGTAACACTATAAACTTCTAAAGAAACAATAATAATCACGGGACTTTCTTTATCCCCAGGAACTCCGTCGTGTTGAACGTCTTCCGCCCGTCTCCTCACCCTTCACGAACCGACTTTTTAACCGGGAATTGCAAATATCCCTTGTTGCCGCACTTCACTTTTAATCGCGCACCACAGCCATATTCCGTGCAATATTAAAAAACGTAATAGCTGCACTAAATTTGCAGCTACCGACTTCAGATTTAAACTATTAAAGTCGGGCGCAATTAGCTACCCCAAAGTATATACATTTTTTTGTAATTTTGGCTTTCAGAAAAACGTGTTTTCTCCATAACCATTCCCTATTTTTTGGCTCTTGGGTCAGTACCCAGCTTTCACATCCAAATGTTAAAATCGGGATGAATATTGTTTTGTATATTATAATTTTGGTTTTAGTGGATATTTACCCGTTTCCTATGAAGCTTGATTTTAAAGTGTGAAGTAGTCTTGAGGCACTCTCGATTCCCGCATTTAGTTCTGCTTGGTGACACCCGTTGCTACTAGTTGTACACTCTGGTATTTAAAAACCTTAACTTGCTCTATCATTTTCTTATTTAATTCGATGTTCCGAATTCCATTTGCTTCGGACGTAACCATAATTTTCGTTTTTTCTTCCTTGATTTTAAGGTTTTTCTCATTCAGGTTTCCAGGTTCTTCTTCAGTTCGCTTTCATTTCTTGCAAACACAACCACATCATCTGCAAACGCAAATTCGCGTATCAAAACGTGTTCCAGATCTTTATACCCTACTTAGAGACCGGATGCTCTACTGATTCTTGTTTTTTGCTATTGCATCGTCCATATATATAACCAGGTCTTAATAAGTGAATACCTTTTTTTTTCTTCAGAGTTTTCAATGCATTGAAAGCTTGAATTAGTAAGAGTAAGTCTGATTTTCAGGTTTTTTTTTCCTCTAAAAATTAGGAACGGGTTTATTGGATTTTTTTTTTTAATTCGTTGAAAATCGTTTACGCTCTTTCTAAGATAAATAGATAATGCCATATGAATACGAACTACTTTTTTATGTATCTTAAAGAATAAAAGTAAGTGAGTATCTCAAAATTACAAACATTAGCATAAGTAAAATATGCATGAATTCAAATTTTGGCAAGAAAACACAAAAACCACAAAAAGGTCATGACATTTTTGTGAATACCATACCATACTTTTTACGAGTTGGGAAGCTAAATTAAAGTAATAATAAAACAAAATATTATTTATGTACCTGTATTCGTTTCTTGCTGCCTATTACCACAAACATCATGGTGTACTTTAAGTATTTCGACTATCACTGGAATTTCTTTCTTTCTTCAGATTTATTTGGATATGTTCTTTTAATGTAAAACTGCCATATCCTATGAAAAAAAAACATAAATTTTCTTGCAAGAAACGCGTTCTGACGAATGGCAATTTGTGACCACCCTGTATAATATATTTTATAGGTCAAAGCATTATTAATCACAAAATCATAAAACTTTAGTTTTCAAGTGTGACACTTTTTTTCAGAGACCTGTTTTTAGCAAAAAAAAAGGGTGAATAATTAGAATTTTGAAAAATATTCTTTAAAAAAATTTTTCAGTAAATACTATATGAATAAAATATATATTTGGGGCCAAACACTTTTTGTATTTACTTACTAGCATTGACTACCCTAGAAATCTGTGTTATCTGCGAAATCCTAGTGAAATCATAAATTTCTGGCGCTTCCCATAAATAATTAACAAATTCATCTCAAAAATTCCAATATGTGACCAAATAACTATTTGATGTGATTCGTTTGCATTTAATAAGGAATAAGATAAGATCACAAAAAATGTCGTCTCTGCTTCTTTTCCTATTTTTATCTACAGAAAATTAGGAACTGTTATCACATTCGCTAACCGAATGTGTTAAACAATGAAATAAAAAAAAATAATTAACAAAAAAAATAAGAAATAAAATTTTGAAAAAAACATTTTGGAAATACTACGTTATTTTTAATTTTTGTAAAAAAGTTTTAACGTAATAATTACTTGTTTTCGGTGAAAACTGAAATAATATATTATGCAACAAGTGCGGTAAACAGTATTTGTCTCTCGAGTTTATTTGACACGAGCGGGGGGAGTGTTTAATAAACGAGTGAGTTAAAATGTTTACGGAACGTGTTAATTATGTGATAGAAAATGCTGATGAAATGCTAGCTTCAGTATATCCGGTATCTGCGACGCGACGCTTGCATAAAAACTTTATATATATAACAACTCTGTGCTTTGCGTCCAGTTCTCCTTGTAGCGGGTTAAAGAAAACCTCGTAGTTCTGTTTGCAAAAAAAAAAGTGTTTTTTAAAAACGAGATCCTTCGTTAGAAAACCTTAACTGGCGCAGTCGTGACGGATTTGGGGTAGTTTTCGGTCAAAGCCACGTCATCGGGACGATTTGATCGCGAAACGTGGGTTTCAACCCTTAGACTCCAAAACGAACCAGTGATAGACTGTCTGACAAACCCAACGTGATTGAGTTCGACTGAGGGCAAGGAAGGCAAGAAATCACCCCCGCAAGCAGTGCTACGCAAGGAAAATTCCAATAGGAAGAATAGGCTGACGACTAAGAGAAATCAAGGTTAGTGCCCAAAATTCCTATTGTTCTCCTTTCATCTTCCCTGGTTAGGACGGTGGAAATAATTTTAAGGATTCTTAGTTTTAAGTTCAATTTTAAGAAATTTCAAAATCAATTAAATTTATGAACGAAGATAAAGACGTCGACAATTTAAGTGCGTTTTTTACTTCATTAAATTTAGTGGAACAGAAAGTAGAGAACAGTCAAATCAATTTGAAAATGAATTCTAATCAATCGTCGAATTCAGGTGTAAATTACACTTTGTTAAAAATGTTTATAGATAGTATTCTGCCATATAATGGTGATTCCAACACTTTAAATAGTTTTCTATCAGCTGGAGATTTCCTTTTTGATACATATGGTCAAGGAAACGACGAAATTTTAAAACAATATTTGTTAAGAACTATAAGAATGAAACTTGTTGATCGCGCACAAATTCTAGTAGGCTGTAGAATGGAGTTAGTAACGTGGGACAATATTAAAGTAGCTTTGTTAAATTGTTTTGGCGATAGACGAAATTTAGAATGTTTAGAACAGGATTTGTTTATGGCCACCCCCTTTAAAAATGAACATCCTTTAGATTTTGGGAAAAGATTACAAGTTTTAAGAAGTATCCTTGCTCAAAAAATTAATGCATTTCCTGCCGATACTATGGATAATGCAAGCAAAGTAATTCATTTACGTCAATACGATCAAATTTGTTTAAGGACGTTTATTAGAGGATTACCAGGACAATTACAAAGTATTATAAGACTTAAAAATCCAAGCTGTATAGAATTAGCTATGACCCAAATTATTGAAGAGGAAAATTTTCAATATACACAAAATATCTTCAGAACTCCAATTCAATCAAAAGTTTTACCTAATACTTCTATCGAACCCGTTAAACAATTTTCACAAAATCCAAATTATTTTAGTAACCAAAATTTTAATTATGTACAACCGATTCGCCCTACAAATTATTTTCAAAACAATAATCACCATAATCAAAATTTTAGAATTAGGCATGATCAAAATCAGTTTACTCCCCAGACTAATAGTTTTCCCAGAGGTCCAATTAATATGCCTCAACCACGCGAAGTTCCAAGAAATTTTCCTACAAATAGGCAAGTTTTTGGCCCACCTAAAAACGTATTTAAACCGACAGGTCAGGTACCTAACAATAAACCCGAACCTATGTCAACAAGAACAAACTATACTATACCACGTCAAAATAATCAAATTAACCATTTCAAACCTACTGGCCCTAGAAATT